GGACAAGATCGAGGCCCTACGAGTATGGCCCGAGCCCACCAACACCACGGACGTTCGTTCATTCATGGGGTTGGCGGGCTACTATCAGCGATTCATCACCGGATACTCCAGGATTGCTGCACCTATGACGAGGTTACAATCGCCAAAGGTGCCATTCGTATTCGATGACGACGCACGCTGGTCATTCCAAGCACTTAAGACGGCTATGCTCATGGCACCCGTCCTTAGCATCTATGACCCCACCCTGTCGACGCCAGTGACTACGGACGCTTCTGGCTATGGCATTGGGGCAGTCTTGGAACAGCACGACGGCGATGATTGGCAGCCTATGGAGTATTTCAGCCACAAAGTGCCTCCCATCAACTCGCTTGATGATGCAAGGAAGAAGGAGCTGCTCGCATTCGTGATGGCTCTCAAGCGCTGGCGGCACTTCCTCCTTGGGCGTCGTAGGTTCACATGGGTCACAGACAACAATCCATTGACCTACTACAAGACGTTGGACACGATGAGCAGCACGATCGGACGATGGATGTACTTCATTGACCAATTTGACTTCACACCGAAACATGTCCCCGACCTCTCCAATCGCGCAGCAAATGCATTCTCGCGAAGACCTGATCTTTGCGCTATGTCACATCATGCCTTCGCATTCGACGAGGAGCTTCAGCGACACTTCATCCGGGCATATCAGTCTGATCCGGACTTCGGCACGCTCTATGCACAGCTATCTTGGGATCACCCGCCGGCCAGCCATTTCCGCATTGCCGACGGGTACTTGCTCCTGCACTCGAGAGGCAAGGACTTACTATGTGTCCCACGAGACCGTCGTCTTCGGATTCGCCTCCTCGGCGAGTATCATGATTCACGACTCGACGGCCATTTCGGAGTCAACCGCACTATTGCAGGGCTTCGACAGCGATTCCGATGGCCCGACCTCATTACCGATGTCACTCGGTATTGCGACTCTTGCGAAGTTTGCCGACGCAGCAAGCCCCGCAACCGCAATCCCTAAGGCGAGTCACACCCGATGCCTATCTTACGGGAACCCGGTCTCTCAATTGCCATGGACGTCACCGGTCCGTTTCCTCGCGACCGGCTCGGGCCCGACGGCATCCTCACGGTGGTGGACCGATTGAGTAAGTACGCGCGTTTTCTCTTTTGCAAGTACTACTCCACGGCTCCCGAGCTGGCACGCCTCCTGCACACTGGTTGGATTTGTGGCAACGGTGTACCAGAAGACATTGTCAGCGACCGCGACACTCGTTTCATGTCGGCGTTTTGGACTGCTCTCATGCAGGAGTCCGGCACAACAATGAAACCAAGTTCGGCTCCACATCCTCAGACAGACGGGCAGACGGAGCGGGCACATCAAACCGCTCAAATGATGCTTCGTACGCTCATCCGTCCGGACCAGAAAGATTGGGTTGACCGCCTCCCCGACATCGAGTTCGCCTACAACACTTTGGTGCATCCGGCGATCGGCGTGACTCCGGACATGCGGGAAGAACTCCGGTGGTAATCGGTACTGTCAGTGCTGTACTTGATGCCGCTGGAGTCGTCCGCTTGCTGAGCCGCTGTTGCTGATACTTGCTTCGTGGAGGTACCACAGGACGGGTACGAACTGCAAGCCTGGCACTGCGTCGTGGCAGTGCCCCGGTGTCCTGTTGCATCGACATCAGCTCTGGCTGATGTGGTACTTGGGAAATCCTGGTGGTCACAGATTACGGGGAAGGTAGGGAGAGTGGGAATTGGGGTAGAACAATCAAGCACTTCGCATACAGTCCCTGTCTCACTGATGGACTTTAGATACCTAATCAAACAGAAAAAAAATAAAATTTCCCATAAACAACGCAAAAATTCGTAATAAGAAAATAATAACGAATTACTTAATCAATAATGTTTAATTAATGATTAATAACGAAATAATAATTCTTAATGATAATCAATAAAACAATGTTTGCAATAATGATTTCTTAATGATAATCAATAAAACAATATTTGCAATAATGATAATGAACGAATTTGAATTGTATCAAGATTAGGTATCCGTTGAGATCATCTTTGAGTCCGGGAGTTCACCGTTAATTAGTGAACTACCCGGAAGTTGCAATTTTGAGGGTCAGATTCGGATTAGTTTGCCAAAAAAAAATTTGGAAAATTCCGGAGAAAAACACTCGAATTTTTAAAAAACGTGAAATTTCGGGAATTTCCACCGGCAAAATCCGATTTTTAAAGGCCTAAATCCGTTTTCGGAATTTCTTAAACAAGGGAAAGAAAAAAGAATTCGCGAAAATTTCGGAGTCCAACCCTAATTTTCCGCGATTCTGCGGAATTTCCGGATTTACGGTTCCAAAACGTTCGAATTTCCCCAGTTGATTGAAAACCAAAAATTTTCGTAACCCTAATTTCCCATACTGCAATAAAACGGAAATGCCGATTTAGAAAACGAAATACAGGATTAAAATCAGAATGCTGATTTATCAAAACGGAAACCGAATTGAAAATCAGAATGCCGAATGAAACAGAGTACTGATTTCAACCTAATCACGAATCAATAATCAGAAATCCGAATTAAACAGAATGTCGGATTAGTATTAATTTATCGGAACTCAAACTAAACAGCATACCGGAGTAAAACAGCAATCCGAATTACAAGTCCGAATACCGAATTAAAACGGAAATGCCGAAATAAACAGAATACCGAAAAGAAAAAAAAAAGTTGCAACTTTGAACTCGATAGTAATACAGAGCTGATTCGGAAGATTGAAGAAGCAATCTAATTCCTAAATCAGACTTACCTGGTGAGCAGATCCGTGAAATGGTCTGCTCCGATACCAAAACTGTTACATACTCGCGAATGTATCAACGAGTATGGGGCAGAACCAAAGATCAACCAATATAGGATGAGCATGTATGCATCGGAAGTCTGATAAACGGACTGACTCACATAGACTGACTCACACAGATATCACTCCACACACATACAATCGTGAGATGGTGGGGTCTGAGC